ACGTACGTAGGCGACGACACCTCCTCTCTCTCTCTCTCTCTCTCTCTCTCTCTTTACGCGTATCGTGTAATTAAGCTTTAGAGTCAATAGTCGAGGTGAAACAGATATAGAGTATCATTTATGGTAGGGATTTAATTGTTATGCAACCGATAAATTGCTTTTACGACAGAGCTGGTTTATTATCACGTGTCGCCTAGTTGCGAACAATAGGAATCGAGCGTTAAATGGGAAATAAGCATACATCGAACGAATAAAATTCCCGATCGCGCGAATCAGTGAAATACAAATTTGCCAAATCGTGATATATACGATTTAAGCAAACGTTTATATGAAAATTAAAATACCATCGAAAGGTATCGAGAATTACACATACACATATATATATATCTTCTTTTCACCGAGTTGTTTCCAACGAAACAACGATAACGCGATAAACCGGGATCGAAACGAAATTTCATCCCGTTTCCCTTCGAGAACAAGTTTTCCTTTTGGATGGTTGAATGGATGGATGGTGGTGGTACGGGATCATTGGTGAATGAGGTAATGGGATCACGCGAATGCATAATCCATCCCCCCGGACAAGGAATAAAGAGGGGAATAAAAAAGTAAACCAGATCGGATACGAAATTCTATTTCTTCCTCGATCGTAAATATCGATCGAGCGGGTGTGTAATCTTGGCAGATATTTGAGACAAATCGAGTTAATTATCGGAAGGGATGAAATAAAATAAAATATAAAATGAAACGCGCGAAAAAAAATTGCTGGTTCGTGGGGATAAATAGGCGAGCAGAGGCCAATGGTGATATAACGACCGACTAACGAGGTTTATTAAGCTGAACGAAATTGCGGCCGCCTGAAAACGGGTTGCGGGGTTGCTCGGCGGCAACAGTTTAGAGGATCGTAAATTCGAGTGTTTCGAAATAATAAGGGTCAGGGATTACCCGTCCATGGCAAGGAACGGTGCATTAACGCTGCTTCTATGAATGGTTGATGTTGATTAAAAAAAGAAGAAAAAAAGGATTAGCTTCGAATCGTCGACGATAATATACACGCAAGAAGAAGAAGAAAAGAAAACGATTACGAACACGATGATAAATTTGAACTGTAAAAATGTAAAATTGTTTCGAAGAGTGAAAAAAGTATGGTATTGGCGTATCACCTTTCCCCAATGTGAATCGTTGGACTCGTCATATTCTCGTATCTTTTGATTTTCTTCCAGCGTTTTTTCTTTTTCCAAGCTTGTTATTGATTAATCAGTGAAATGAGTCGTGGAATCGAAGATAATTCTAAAAAAAGGAAAGGAAAAGTTCCAGATTTATTCGAACGATCTACTTCTTGCACGACTCGGTTGCCTTTGCGCGAAGCTTCGAGAGGTTCTTTCAGTTTCAAGAAAAAAGAGAAACGAAGATTTAATCGAGAACGAACGATTAACTGGTACAAACGATCCTTGTCTTAAAAATGATAATAAATACGATATGGAAAAAATGAACGAGAATAATATATCCGATTTAACTTCGCAAGAAGCTCGTTGTTGGGGGACGAACAAATTCGTTTAAAAAAAAAGTATCAGAGAATGCAAATATTGCGTTCGCATTAATGTCTGATCTCGATTAATCGATCATTTCGTTATCACTTTATTGATTAATTAACATCTTCTCGATACTAAAAAGATCAAATATCTGGAATGGAATTTGATCGAACATTTATTCTTTTTAAAATCGTTGTTCTCAAAATATTTTCATTAACGAAATTACGAATGGAAAATTAGCGACATTCTTCGACGAAACTCTCGGATGGAATACCTATTGCTTTAACGTAACGAAACTGAAATCTTCGTATTTACGAAGAAAGGATTCTCTAATGGGAACGAAAGGATTTCTAGCGAATTCTCGAGAAAACTCAATCGCGTTAAAAACACCGCGCAAGAAGGACGTAGAGATACGGAATTTCAGAAACGCAAGAATTACGGGATGGGCAAAAGAAAAATTCGATGACAAGAGATATGAAGACAGTGAGAGAGAGACAAACTACGAACTAAAAATACTCGTTCGATACCCTTCGACACCCTTTTATGAACGGTCTTCTTCCACGTAGATTGCGCCTAACCTCCATTCGAGGAATCTCTTTTCACGCGATAGGATCGTCTTTGATCCCTTCATCTCTTCGATAACGAAAGAATGATTCGATCGCGAACGAGCCGGTAAACGATTGCTCGGGGATTATTCTCGGGGAGAGGAGGAAGGATGCGAAAGGATGCGAGAAGGTGAACTTAAGTATATCGATATCGTCTCTTCCTCCTCGGGAGAATTTTCCAGTATTTTTTTTCTTTCTCTCTCTCCTTCTTCTCCTCTCTCAAAAGAGATCGAACGATGCGAAAAATCAAAAATAAATAACGGATCGCGTAAATTTTTGGGGCTGAATATTCAAATTATATATATATATATACGTATATTTCAAGCGTATATTCGTTTATTGAAATGAAATATTTATGACGTTTATCAAATGAACGTCAACAATCATTGTGCACGTCCATAACACGAATTAGTTGGTCTGATAGGTTTGGCAAGGAAGTTACAGTGCATTTAGCTGGCGCGTCCATTCATATATACCGCGATTCGATATCTGTTTGCGATTCAAAAAGCGAAAGCCAATTTATTATATAAAATGATATTCGAAATTTTTCCATTTTTTTTCTCTCTCTCTTTTCGCTAAAAACTAGAAATTCGCTTCGAGGAAATTTCGAATACGATAATAAAAAAGTTAAAAATTGTCTCGTTTGTCGTTGGAGAAGAAGAGAAGCTCGGAGGGATAGAGCGCGATTTCGACGATAATCGATAGAAATCCGATGGAGAATCCGATGATCATGAGGAGAAACGCCGGGGCAAAGTGTTGCAAGTGAAGATTCATCTTGTACTCTTCCTCCTCCGCGAATTCGAACATCATGGCCAGCCTGCCCTTTTGTATCGCCAACTTGATCATGTGATCGAAAATACCCGTATCGATGAAGTCGCGGATCTTGGCGTTGACGCGTTTCAATTTTGGGAATCCTTTCCAAACGGCCAACGCCAGGGGGAAACTGTATATCACGTCCGTGGACATGGTGTACGCGTGCAAAGTGTCGATGCCCTCGCTTCGAGAGGAATTCAACAGGATCATCAGCGCGTACGAGGAATTCCTTCCCTCCACGACGTCGTTGTACAATCCCACGTATTCGTCCCGATCGAACGTGACGAATTTTTCGTGTATCCTCGAGAAGACCACACCTCCGCTCCCCTCCTCTTCGTCCTCGAGCGCGTCCTCGAGGAACAAAGCCTCGAACGCCGTTGTCCCACCGATCCCGAACGACGAGGAAAGAAGCTCCTCCGTGGTCGTGATCTTCGTCTCGGACGTGTTGATCAGCTGATCGGCCAAAGCGTCCACGTACACCTCCATGAGAAACAGGCCGAAAATGCTCCACGAGATGTACTGGATTTTAGCGGAGAGTTTGCCGGGCCGGGTGGCGATCGACGCACCGATTATCAGAGCGAATATGTCGAGGTAGGCGAGGTCGGGGATCAGGAAGATTTTCACGAGGACGGCCAATATCAATGCTCCCCCCAACGCCGCCCATACGTACGGGTGGAACGGTTGAATCAATCCTTTCAGGGACACGTTGGTCACCTTCGGGATCAACCAGACCACTTTCAACATGTCGTACGAGCTCGAGTAATCGATGTCTTGCTGGGGTTGGAGAAGGACGCGACCCACCACCAGGTCGGCATTTTCCTGGTACAACACCTCTCTTATCTGTTCCACGAAGGTCGCGTTTTCGCTCCACGTCACTTTCGCCCGCTCCACCTTCCGATTTCTCAACACCTCCTCGGTCAGCATGCCCTCGAAACCCAGCAAACTTTCCGTCTCGTTCGTCGTTATCACGTAGGGAGGCTCGTCGAAGTAGGCTATTCTCAGGACACACTTCTTGTTCCCTTTGGGCGGCTCCGTCCTCGAGTTCGTGTCCCAAGAACTCGTTCCGCATTTGTCGAGAACGATCGGGAAGGACGGGGCGCACGGTTGGTCGGGTCGAAAGGAGGTGGCGCGGGCGGCGAGCACGTCGTGGCCAACTCTGGCCAAAACGAGCACGGTGAAGATCCTGCGGGTCCACATGGCTCGGATCAAAGCGTCCGTTTCCTCGAGGAAGGCGTCCTCGTCTCGAAACGCGTCCGTCATTACGACGAAGAAGGGGCAGTCGCGAGTGCAAGGATCGATCGCGTACACGTCGTCTCGGAAACTGGTGGCGTTCGACATGAGAAGGATGGCGTTCAACGCGTATTCCTTGGTATCGAATTCCATTTCGCCGGAATATTTCAAGAAAGCGAAACGATCTTGAAGGCTCGTCGCGAACGAGCGGGCCACGTCCTCTGTGTCGTCCAATATCATCAACGAGGTCCACGCTGGATCGGTCGCGCGATTCAAAAAGCTCGCGATGCAAGGTATCGATTTCGAGAATTCTTCTCGTTCCTTCTCACCGTTCGTCACGTCTTCCACGATGAATCCTCGATCGCCCGATTTATCCCCCTTTCCGTTCGTGTCATACGACACGACGATAGCCCGCGCGGAGCACGAGCACAAATAGGCGAAGAGAAGAGGGCGAAAAAGGTAAAATCGAAGGAGGCACATTCCTACGAACGCGGGGACAGAGACGCGACTGGTTCGCTCGTTCGCCAACGAGCGAGATAATCAAACTTCTCGATGCTCTCTGTTAGATGTTATCGCCACGGTTGAAACAACTCGTTACTGAACACACAACCGAACCGATAACCAACTTTGATCAATTCCTTTCGCACCGCGCGTGAAAATTCATCCCTGGTTTATTCGCAAAATTTATCCACTCTCGTTATCGATCGGGGGAAGAGAGGAGGGATGGATGTAAGCGGAAATCGTAAGCAAGATCCCTGCACATTATTGGAACATTATTTTTCGAAAATGAAATTCCTCCGTTTGCGTAGTTCGCGGTCGCATGTCACGGCTGCGTTGCAATAGAGCCTATGCAAATAGTTGCAGCGTGGTTGATATTTAAAACAACATTCCGGTCATGCGATCTTGACGTTAAAAATGGCCAACGTGGTGACGTGACCAGCGTTATTCGAGGCCGCATCATTGGCCGCGCGGCAATTTCCTTGAACGGAAGGATATTTCAAGTTTTTTTCGGAAATTAATAATTTTTCCCCTCTAATTCTTCCCAATTCCCAAACAGTCTCTGTCTTATCCGATATTCGAGAAGGAATTCGAGAAGACGGTTCTTTTGCCCAGGATTCGCTAAGGATTTTTCTCTCGAATAAATGATTTCGGACGGTTAAGTTCCATCGAGTCTTCTGTCCCGTCTCGGATAATATTATTGTCACAAAAGGGACGTAACACGTTGAGACACGTTTCTTCTTCCTTTGCAGAGCGTTCGTGAGGATCCTGTGCGCCTGCTGCCCGGGACGAGTAAGGCGGCGGTATCAACCTGCATTCAGATGTAAACCAAGTCAAGTGAGTATGAAATATTCATACTTTCCCGTGCAAATTGCGCCGCGTGCACGATTCGCGCGCCCAGTAAATAAATACGCGCCGGTTACAACAACCGACCAGTCTCTTGTTCCACCATTTTGAAAATTCACCTTGCCTATCCAACGGTACATAAATTCCCGAAATTCGTTCTTCCTCGAATGCGATGCGGCCGACTAATATTTCTTCTTCTCGTGCTCTCCTATTCGACGATGGAAGCACTCTCGACGTGGGGTAGAAAAAAAAGAACTCGGTTATATCGGTGCGCACAGCCGATACGATCGCTTCTTTGCATCAGGAAGAACAAGGGTTCGCGGTTGAGAATTCGATCGTTCCTCGTAGTAAGTTGAGAGAGGATCCACTTCGGCTCTGTTGCTCGGTATTCGTAATTTATATCATGGATAGAATCTCGGAAGAACAAAAAAATGTGGAATACGCTTTTTCCTTTCAAGAGTTTTCTTTCGAAAACCTCGTATCGCTCGAGTATCAAGACTAATCCTTTTCCCTCGAGAGAAAAACCTTATCGTCCCGATCTGCTATTACCTCGGATAAAAATATCCGGCTCTCTCTCATCCGCTCTATCCATTAAGTGAATCTGGTGAAGATCGACCTCGAAGATCCGAATTATTCTAAGAAGTCGAGAGAGACAGAGAGACTTTTCGCCGAGAGATCGATGCCGATTCATTTTCGACGAAAGCGCTTAAATTTCAATTATTCTTTCGCGAAGTTACATTAATCGTTCAAACCTTCGTGAAACGTTCCCGTTAAAGTTCGTGATTTTTCTGTGAAAATGTGAAAATGGAGGACGATTCGTGCAAATTTGATCGGAGTTCACGAATAAAAAATAGGCTTTCGTGAGGTTTTCAAAGGCGAACGAATTGCTCGAGGGAGCAACAGGAGAGCGACAAACCGTCGAGATTGTTGCGCCGCTATTCGCGTGTAGGCACAGCCTCCACGCTTCGAGAGACGATTTTTGGCCAAGCGGTGTAAACCGGTCAAGGAGAGAAGAGAGAATCGTTACATCAGCGCACAGTTTCGAACGTTGGAGGTTGAAACGTTGCCAAAAGTGAGATAATTTATTTTATTCCTAAAATTCTTTACTACGAGAAGATTTCCTGATCTTCCTTCTGGAAAATATCGTTTAACCTTCGAACGAGTTCGAGCGTCCAGCTCTTTCTTCGTCTCTTCGTACGAATATTTCTTTTCTTAGGTTAGGCCAACCCCCTTATTCCTCTCCTGCTGGATATTTCGCGAATTCTCCGTGGGATCAGCCCGATCTTGAAGTGGAATTCGAATAAATGTCCGCGGTAAACATACCGTCGCCGAATATAAATGCATTTGAAACTGGTTGGCCAGCTGGTCGAATCGAGTATCTTCGAAAAAGCGCGAGTAAAGGAAAGGATATATATATATATAGTTGGAGGATGTTGCATTCGGAACATATTGGTTTTCCTCTTCTTTGAGAAAACTTCCATTTCCACGGGGTGGACGTCCCGTTCGCTCTGGGGACAAACTTTTCTCGCTTATTAAGCGCGAAAAATTGCACAAATCCTATATATATATAAAAGTAAAGCGTAAAAAAAAGTGGGTCGCACGTGCAAAGATAATTTTCACGAATTAGATTTAATCGTTTCCCTTCGATTCTCTCGTCCCATAATCATCGTCCCACGTTTCGCACCGGCTTCGACGAATATTCTCGCGTGATAACCGGGCGAAGAAAACTTCCAACTTCGCTTCGATTAATTTCGACAACCTTCTCTCGTATTCTCTTTGCTCGTACGCGCCTACGCCGTTCGTGAAAAAGTTTCCCTCTCCTCCTAAATCTTGGCCGTTCTTATACTCGTAGTTGGGCAAATTCAGTCGAGCCCCTTCCCCTTTATTAAACCGTAAACCTTCTAATATAGCCGTGCGTACTGATTACCTAGAGAATAAAGAGGGAAAGAGAGAGAAAGAGAGACCGACATTAAACTGCAACAATCTACGATCCGGCCGCGAGTGTAACTTATCGATCTGGTATTCGAGCAATTAACCCTGGCCAAACGTGTATACAAGGAGTGTGTATACGTTATGTGTACACGTATCTTGTCGGGATATGGAATGGCGGGGTTAGGGAGAGAAGGGAGTAATGGGCTGGGTTACATGTTTTTTCAGAGATTCGCATCGGGAAGATACTACTCCGCTTATTCGCTCCACCACGTGCGAAGCAGCCGAGAGAGTTCGTGCGAGCAAACCTACATTTAACGATGGGACGATACGGCCGCGATGTGGATTTTCGTCAATCGTTGGACACCTAAACGACACCTTTCCCGCATCCCCCCGTTGTTGTTCCTCCATTCGTTGCCGTCGAGCCATCGCCCTCCCCCTTCACCAATCAAATCCTATACCCCGGTAAATCCCCCGGCCGGAGAGAGTACACTTAGAGAGTACAGAGAGATTATCGAGGGCGAAGGATGTCTGTCACCAACCCCGTATAACATAGCCTCGGTATGTTACGATTAGTTGAATAGACTTATCAATCACTGACACGAACACGCACACCTCTTCTTCTTCTTATTCTTCTTCTTCTTCTTATACACCTCTACTCTATTGATACTCAGCACTTGCACGAAGTAGACCACGAGGACAGTGCACGCGTTTTCGTTATGACCTATATATATATATAGGTGAGTGTGTGGTGTGTGTATGTGTGTGTATGTATAAATATATATATATATATACACGTAGCACTCGAATCCTGTTTATCTGTGTGTGCACACTTCGTTTCCATCACGAAAACAAAAGAAAAATTCTAATAATAATAAGATAAAGTTTTCGACCCTTTTTTCTTCGAACATCTGGCTGGAAACGGATCTGACGTTTCGAAGCATCGCTTCGAAAATTGCGCTTACGATGCGAGCAAAAGTGAAAGGTAAAAAGAGGGAGAGGAAGGAAGAAAAAACAGAAGAAAATATCACATCGCTCGGATGAGTGAAAAATAATAATAACATCTGGCCGGAGCGAACGAAATGCGTCCATCGAATCGATGCAACGTGTGTATCGACGCGTAGGCCGTCTGCCTTCCACGAAAATACGCGTGCGTAAATTTCTTTCCGTCCACGATATGGTGCATAGGACGACGCGTGAAAGGCCGTGAAAGAAAATTTCCAAATAAGCCGATAATTAAAGCGACTCGCTGAAAGAGAAGCGAGATATCTTCCGCCGGTACCACGAGACTTGTTTAATTTATCATTCAATTTGCACCGGGACCGTATTACCGACTCGCTCGCTGCCTGACCGTGCGTAACAATTCGAAATCAATCACCCGATTCGCTTCGAGTCTCTCGCCAACCCCTTTCATTTATCAATGCGACCGAATTAAATTACCCGCGCGGTGTAATGTGATCGATCGGGGTATAAGGGCGACCACCCGTTTTCCGTCCTCCTACGCGAATTTCCAGGGCGATCTTTCCACGTCGAGTCGAGAAGAGAAAGAGAAAAAACGTGCTGGACGTGCACCTGTGCTCGATTAACGCGGTTAATCGCGTTACAACGTGAAATCGTGGACGAAAGTGGAATTATTCGTAACTCCGCGGTGCACGAGAAGGATGCACGAGAAGGGAGTATAAATAACGTTAAAATGGGAAATCGAGAATGGCCGTTCGAATAAATCCTGTGATTTTTGGCCCGTTCGCCGTTCCGTGAAAGATTTTTCGACTATATTTCTCCCTGTTTCCGCGTTGAAATTTCCATTCGGCCCTTAAAACGTGGGAATGTAAATACGCGTGATAAAAAATGTAAACAAAAATGAAGCATGGGAAGAGAACGTTAACAAACAAAATAAAACGAACGATTGCAAAACAGGGCGCATCCTCAACGCTAACATAGTCTGAATAAGAAACACCGTGGTGTATGGAATACGTTTAAAAACTGTTATTGTTTTTCTTTTTTTCTTCTTTTAATAAAATTCTTCTTCTATCTCTCTCGTTCGCTCTCTTCTCTTTCTCTCTCTTTCAAATGTTCTTCTTATCGATTGTTCATCATCGAATCGAAAGATCGAATCACCCTCTGCTTAATAAATTTGGAAAATTATTTTTTTTTTTGTCTCGAACGCGTCTCGAATCCGTGTTAATCTTATTTGCAAATCCTATGCTATCTCGTTTATTATTCATCGCGACGTTTTCATTTCATTCGCGGAAACTCGTCGTCGCGAAATTTACTTTATCTTATTGGACGTGGAATATGAGCTTCAATCCTTTTCTGATACATCTCTGTAAAAGAGGTACCCGAGCATCTGGATATTTAACCTCTTTGGCATTTTTCAAGCCAGATTTATCCTTCAATTATACATCGCAACATGTTTTAACGTCCGTTTTAAAAACGTTCTACTTCCTACATGATCAGTGTAATTGCCCGTATTTATACATGTTATTAAAAAAAAAAAAAAGCACATTGACTATCGAAATTGTATGGAACCAAAATTGTTTGCAAAATTGGATTAAAATTAAAATTCAATTGTCAAACATTTTCGAGACGCAAACTGATGAAAAACGGATTAAACGCCGACAACTAAAACAAGGAAACACTTGACCATCTTGTATCACGGTATCTCCTCCGATCGAGCTCGACCACTTTCGCAGACAAGTTCCCAAAACCGAGAGAAACCGATGGCCATCTGGTACGGTTCGACCACGAGCATCGCGCCGTGCATCGCGAATCAACCAATCCTGCGAAACTTTACTACTTGAACGAACGGTTGCACTATTTCTCATGCATGCAGGGAACGGTTCCACAGTAACGAACAGTAAAAGTAAATCGGAAAACAAGGAGACTCGAGTTATTAGCGCGTATATGGAAGATATGAACGAATTCGAAAATGAATAAAAGGACTATCCATCCTTTCTCCCATTCACCGTCCATTAATTCGCTAAAAATCGTCGCTTTGGGAGTAACAATTTAAAAAAAAAAAAAGGAATATAAATCGAATCGTCCGCCATTCGATCATTTCCTCGTACGTCAACTTTATCGGACCCATAGTTCCTCCGCGTCCATATTTTTTTTTCTTTTCGTGATTTTTTTTTTTTTTATTATTGGAGAGAAAAACGCCCCTTGGATTAGATCGGTCGATCGGCAGAAAGTTCGCTCGGGCGAAGAAACACGATAGAGACGACCGAGTTCGAGAGGAGAAAGAATAAGAAGAAGAGAAACGACATGGAAACGGTGGATGATTCGATAGTTGAAAAGTTTATTTCTCTTATATCCATCCCGATATATATTTCAAACTTCGTATCAAATCGTCCTCGCGTGTGCCCGGTTTAATACGTATCGATTCCGCGCATAATTCACCGACTAGAAGAATTACGAAACGTTCGAATTCAACCGTGGAGAAATAAGAAAAAAAATTGGAAATTTTTAAAACACCCTCGAGTTAGCTGAAAAGCAGACCGATTCTACAGGGAACCGCTCCAACATCTAATTAGCATGTCGCGAAATTTTCCAACGTCGACACGGTTTATCTTCTCTTTTTTCCACTCGATTGAACTTGGACGAGGAGAAATTTCTCTGAAAAGCGAGTCGGCTCGATCGAGAACAGCGCTCCCTCGTAGATCACGTTTCGACCGCATTACCCTTACCGGTTAATTAAGGGAGGTCTTTCCTTTGCGTTTTAATTACATTTCTCCATTACTCGCCGATAAGAATTTTTTTCACGCCTTTCCGTGTATCGTGACGAGCGTCGCGGTGGAATAATAAATTCGTGCGGAGCGACATTAATTAAATTCCTTCACGGATATTTGTACATACGTATTAGAATTCAATCCGATAATTTGCATATTCGTATAATACATCTTATTTTATATCGAAAGCAAATTCAAAAGAGGGAAATTCTGCGGTTGAACCGATTTGATGATCGATGCCCACTTTCAAACGAATGTGAAAAAGAGACAATGTTTGATAAGTTCATAAATTAAAAAATTTTTATTACCTTTTTTACCTTATTAGAGAATTTTAAAATTCGAAAGATGGAACGAAATTTTCGCCCGAAATCGAAAATAAACGAAATATCTCGTAGAGTAAAAGTTTCAAAAGCACGATTTTTTTTCTTTTTCAAATTTTAAAAAGGCATCGAATCAATTTCCAAACTCGACAAACTTTTCATTCCTTCATTTTTTCCTCAATTCAAAATTGAACGACGATCAACGATTCGTGCAACTTCGTGTTCCTCGGATCATCGATCCCTCCGTTAATTAACTAATTTCGCCGAAGGAAATTCTCGTCGACTCGACGGAGAGGTTCGAAAACAAAGACATAGAGATACGTGGGATCGACGAGATAGAGAACTTGGCAGACGTTTCTCTCTCGTGAACGGATACACGCCGTTCGGTATCGTGGCGCGATACGTGCTTTTAATCGAACACGACATTGTCCGGAAATAAGCGGTAAAGTCAACGACGACCGAGGGGCGGAGAGAGAGAGAGAGGGATGCTCTCGATCGAAATTCAACGCGGTGTGGTATTGTAACCACGAAAATGGCGAGAGGCGAGCTTCGTGACGTTGCGTTTCGTACGATTTAACACGTATAGGCCACATTTTCAATTGTCTTCCCGCCTCGCTCTCGGCTATAAATTCAATCACGTGGCATCCACCGTTTCCGCATAGAAGGAAAAGGAAGGATGGGAACGCTGCTCCCCACTCTCCGCTTTCAGGATGAATATTTTTATATACCTTTCTCGTACTTCGAACGAGTGTATTTTCCCTCTTTCGAAGCAAAGAGACAATCAATTTCTGAGACGATCGTCAAGCGAGAAATCCGATATTTCTTATTCAATCGATTTTGATAAATGAGTTATCCTGTTAAATTTAAATATCTAAGCTCTAAAAAAAAATGTCGAATTGTCGAATACTCGTGCTCCAAGTATTATTATTAAACGCATAATCATCGTGATACGATATCGGCATTAGTTATTCAGAGTGAAAGAAACGTACGTTCGAAGAAGAAAAACTTCGTGTCTCTAATATAGCAATAAATTGGGAGAAAATAACGAGAAGTATTCTTGAAAAAAAAAAAAAAGAAAAGGAGACATCATGCGACAAATTGCAACCGGATCGGGAGATGGAAGTTGACCTAGATACTTTTAGTTCGTTGATTCACCAGGACGATGAAAGAGGTTAGATCTAATAAAAAAAAAAAAACATCTGGGGAGGAGAGCCAGGAAGAAGAAAAAGAACAGGAAGGAAATACGATCCAGAGAGGTCAGGCCTCCAGAGAGTTCGGCACTTGACAGAATAAACGAAGAAAGTTTTGCGTTGACACGGTGGCCGCCCCTCGAGATCAAACGAACCAAACATCATTGCTAAGATGAATCTCGTATCGTTTCTCTCACTCGTTTCGATCACCTCTCTCTCTCTCTCTCTTCCATATTTTCAACTTTATCATAACTGAACTTTACTTGTGCCAGAAGAAAGGCATCATTCAAAGGCAAAGTTTCGTTGGAACGAAGGGACAATCGATGAGATAAGATTATCGAAAGAAAGAGAAACTCGATCGAAAAACGCGAGTTTACAAGTTTAATTTTCCTCAAAGGAAATCTTTTAGATTCCTGGAAGAGAGGAAGGAAGAGAGGGGTGTCTCTGTGAATGGAATGGAACGAGTGGAGGAGAGATCCTTTGGATTTTAGTCCAACGAGAATAATCCTTGGAATTACTGGAAAAAAAAAAAAAGAAAAAAAAGAGGGGGAGGAGGGTAATGGATCGAAATTAAAGGTGTAGAGGAGGGTAAGTGCATTAGAGGGACGTCGAACGAGACTAATTCACTTACGAGACCGCTATTGAAACAAACTCAGCGGCAAATTCAGCGCGATGTTTCATCCGCGAAATCGACCAGTTAGCCGATACACGATATTTGCGGTGGCAATTTTTTCACGGCCCACCGCTTCGGCTCCGGGTATTGAGTTATTTGGTTTATGGGCACCGAAGCCATCGAAAATCGTTTCATTGTCATCGTGCTGCTCTATCGGATCGCCTGGTCCGCGATTCATCCTCACGCCTCTCCTCTTCTCTCTTCCCCTCCCCCGGATCCGCCGCAAAGGAGGCTGCATCGAGTGTATGCGTGAGAGTGAACCGGAAACTTTTCTCCGTTGATCCATTGCGACCTTTAAAAAGAAAGAGAAAAAGGGACGTCAGTAGCCTTAACGAAAATAGATAGAATCAAAGACGATCCGTTACGAATACACTCCCCTTCGAAGTTAAAAATATTCTTTCTCTGAAGAAAAAAATCGATGATAATTATTATTATTT